ACCCCCTTTCTTATGAAATATGGTTACATCTTTATGCAAACTAGAATAAATGATTTGTTGAAAGATGATGAATTGGAAAACTTTCATATAAGCTCAATTTTTGCGGTTTCAAGAATTCTAACAATTAAATAATTCTAAGATTGACTGGATCACTTACTTAGGCAGTATGTGTATATAGAATTTATTCTTTTGATGGAGCTGAAATACTAACATTTGAGAAGTTTTCGAAGGCTAAATGGCATAAGTGTCTGTTTCTCCTAATGGGACATATCATGTGATTTATATGTGGACTTAAGTTACATGTGCCACAGGGCAATACAATCACTACTACATATCATATGGCTTCATTATCCATGGCTGGTTTCGGAGGAGGGTCGTGATGGTATCATTCATCATAGTTACTGCACAAATTGAAGTATGGGCTATTGTCAGAGAGCAAGGACAATTTCAAATGTAAATGTATTGATATTAACGTTTTCATCTAAAATATGTAGTTTTTTCATCCCCTGACAAGTTAATTACAGTGTTTGGTATTGAAGGGCTTTTAGGATCATGGCACTGTGGTGACATAAAGGACCTCAGAATCTTCTATTCTGAACATTCTTTTTAATAATAAGGACTGTTGAATTTCATGCTTTGTTTTGGACACTGTCCAGCTAGTTTAGAATTATGTTAGCTATTTCCCAATGGCAGATGGGGGTTAGATGTGGTCTTCAGTAATACATGCTTATTATGAGAGGTGACGAATGATTGGTTAAGCTTGGTTGGTATAAGTCATATTATGAAGAGGTGACGAAGTAAATTGGTTAAGCTTAGTTGATATAAGTCATCTTCTTGGTGAAGATCAATACTCATGAAGTAAATCACTGGATTATCTGGTCCAGATGTGAATATTTACAGACTGTTATCATTAAGAAGATATATTGCTGAATGAAGCGTTAAACAAACAACAACAAAATACAGTCTTTACTGTTTTGTAAAAGAAGACCCACTGGTTGCAGCAAACGTGTTTCTGTTTTTCTGACATTTCCTTGACGTGAAAATTACATTGATTTTGGTAAAGAGCATGAAAAAGATTCGTCACACCTGAAGAGCAAAAACCTCACTTTGAGAATATTTGGCAATCTGCAGTATGCCTTACACATATTCATGTGGAACAAAGGCATTATTTTATTTTAGTGAGTGAGTGAGTTAAGTTTTAGCAGTATTCCAGCAATATCACGGCAGGGGACACCAGAAATGGGCTTAACACATTGTACCCATGTGGGGAATCAAACCCGGGTCTTCGGCGTGATGCGCGAATGCTTTAACCACTAGGCTACCCCACCACCCCTAATTTTATTTCATTAATGGCAGATATGTAATGTGCCCTACTGTGCTCATGAGGTTCACATTAAGGATAATATTCAGTAATATTCAGTCTGCTTCCTGTCTTTGAGACAAGTATCAAATATAATGTGACTACAGGTACTGTTACAGTATGATTCCCTGTCCAGAAATTGGTACCTATGGAACTAAAATGGTAAAATGTGTAAATACCCCATAAAAGATCAATGAATAATTAACACATTATACAGAACACACAGGATTAGGTTTACAGTGATACGACACAGCGCAGTGGGCCAGTTGTGTGGCAGCAGTAATATATTAACAGCCCAATTACATCAATCAGTTCACTATCAAATGTCCACAATCTGTCACATTCGAATATTTTGAAAAAAGCAAATGCTCTGCTCTAAAATTCAGGATACTGTTTTGAGAACAACAAAACGCAGCGTGTATTTGTATTTAGTGATTAACATGGGCAGAAAGCCAGTGTTTCCAAATGGCTGTCCCGTCATCACTGGCATAGGTGTCCTGTCACCATGGCCATAGGTGTCTCATCATCATGGCCATAGGTGTCCTGTCGTCATGGCCATAGGTGTCCCATTATCATGGCCATAGGTGTCCTGTCATGTCACAGGTGTCCTGTCATCATCCCATTATCATGGTCGTGGGTGTCCTGTCATGGCCATAGATGTCCTGTTATCAAGGACACTGTTGTCCTGACATTATGGCCATAGGTGTCCCATCATCATGGCCATAGGTGTCCTGTCATCATGAGCATAGGTGTCTTGACATCATGGTATAGGTGTCCCATCACCATGGGCATAGGTGTCCCATCACCATGGGCATAGGTGTCCTGTCATCATGGGCACTAGTGTCCTGTCATCATGGCCATAGGTGTCCCATCATCATGGCCATAGGTGTCCCATCATCATGGGCACAGGTGTCCTGTCACCATGGCCATAGGTGTCTCATCATCATGGCCATAGGTGTCCTGTCACCATGGCCATAGGTGTCTCATCATCATGGCCATAGGTGTCCTGTCGTCATGGCCATAGGTGTCCCATTATCATGGCCATAGGTGTCCTGTCCTGTCATGGACACACCATGGGCATAGGTGTCCTGTCATCATCATAGGTGTCCTGCATCATGGCCATAGGTGTCCCATCATCAT